GTGACTGGGTACTGCGTGACCTTCTCTGCTGGACTGATCTTGTTCTGATATAAAATAAGTTTTGTTTATGATAATATACTATTTTTATTATTATTAGATTTGAATTGTAGTAGATTTCATACAGAGGAAGAGGGATGTTCAAAGAGTAACATTACAGTCACATTGGGTGTGTCTTGGCATGCAATTTCCATGCCATGCGACTTGCAAATCATATATGCCAAGTCACATCCTATTGTCAGCAATTAACCACTTCCAGTCCGGACACTTTTACCCCCTTCCTGTCCAGTAAAAGATAAATGACATTAGTGGCTCTGCCATACAAGGCGCTCTTCACAATATATCAAACAGAATTTTAATTAATGCAGATAAAACTGGGATCTTGCCCCAGGTACTTCTGAACTAACACACAAGTACTTATCATTTTGGAGTACTTCAGATTATTTACATCAGAGGTAGGCAACCTTAACCACTTCAAGTCCGGACACTTTTACCCCCTTCCTGTCCAGACCAATTTTCAGCTTTCAGTGCTATCACACTTTGAATGACAATTGCGCGGTCATGCAACACTGTACCCATATGAATTTTTTAGCATTTTTTTTTTTGAGACAGATAAAGCTTTATTTAGTTGGTATTTATTCACCACTGGGATTTTTAATTTTTTTGCTATATAAATGAAAGTCCCAAAATTTTGAAATAAAAGTGTTTTTCTTATAAAATTTTGCAAATAAATAATATTTCATCATAAATCTTAGCCAAAATTTATTCCGTTTATATTTTTAGTAAAAACAAAATAACCCAAATTAGTTTATAACCAAAAATTATAATTTTTAAACACTTTTTTTTTTTTTTTTTTTTATATTTTTTTTTCTACATACTGTCACCCTAGCAGTACAGTGTCACCATGGTGACACTGTACTACTTGTGGGGGGTGATGAGGATTTTTTTTTTACACTGATTGCTTTTACACCTATAAAGGCTGTAAAAACTTTATTTTGGTGGTATTTCACCACTGGGATTTTTATATTTTTTTGCTATATAAATGAAAGTCCAAAAATTTTAAAAAGTGTTTTTCTTATAAAATGTTGCAAATAAATAATGTTTTTGCATAAATCTTGGCCAAAATTTATTCAATTATCTATCTTTTTAGTAAAAAACAAAGATAATTTACACTGATTGCTTTTACACCCGATAAAGGCTGTAAAAGCAATCATTTCTCCTCTCTGGCTGCATTCTTGCAGTCATTGAGAACTACTGTGTGAGCTGTGATTGGTCACAGCTTGTCACATGGTACAAGGCTGTTGGGAATAGCCTTGTACCATGTGACCTCTGTGATCATTCACAGATTTCACACGTAGTAAGCAATGATGTCACAAGTGACATCTTGCTTACTACTCTGCATGTGAAAACTGATTGGCCAATCAGTTATCACATGATCGGGACCTCGCACAGAGGTCCCGACTGACGATCGGTGTTCCACTGTGTCCCAGGGAGCGCGCACAAGCAGGGGGCGGGGAGGCTGTTTATAAACGGCCACCCGACCCTGCACTGTCACTGTTCGGCCGTTTTTAAATACATGGGCCAGACGGGAGGTGGTTAAAGCAGTCAAATTGGTGCAGTTCTGACTTCGTTGGAGCCGCACCGATTTCTAAAGTAGTACATGCACTACTTTTGGTGCGATTTGCCTAGACATCTGTGTCCGATGTCTTGCAAATCGCACCTGAAATCAGCATCTCGTCCGACTTTGAGATTCTGCGACTTCACTGTAAGTCGCTGATGTGACCGGGGGGTTACTCCACTTTAGTTTAGAAAGAAACCAACCCTTCTGGGTGAGGAAGGTACATTGCAGGGATTTTAACAATCTTTGTGGCAGAGGCCTAGCTGTTTCTGCTCTAATGCCCCGTACACACGATAAGAAAATTGTATGGAAAAAGTTCGTAAAACCACTGATCGAATGATTTTCTCTTCTTTGATGAGCAGGATGTTTTAACCAATAACGATATTGTGAATGAAAAAATCCGGTTGAACATCCGTGAAAAATGTTGTTGTTTCGCATACGAACGACCAATTTTTCTATGCGTTGGTATGACGGTCATATGAACAAAATCTATCAAGAGCAATCATGCTTGAGTGGAAACAGAAGATGACTCGGATGTTTATGTCCAAGGAATCTTCATAAACACGAACGAAAAATCCAAATGTTAAAAGTAGATTGGCCTAATGAGATAATGAAACCAGAATTCTGCAGATTATATTTTATGTATCACTATTTATGTATATAGGTCATGTAACAAATTTTATATTATACTCGTTGCTGGTCATTATTGTGTATATTGATTGTTCTGGCCGGAAGGGCGTGGCTACAAGGTCACACGCACACCTCATCACTTCCACTTGTACGGAAGACGTCAACACTACGCATTGACCGACAAACGATCTTTTAGATTGGTTAATGTGGGCCACGGTTTCGACCAATGAACGATCGCCTCTCGGTCGTCGGATGACCGATCCGATCGGTTGATTTTCTAATCGTGTATTCCCACCTTAAGCCTTGGTTCACACTAGCAACTACGTATGGTTCCTGTGCATTCACATACGGCTCAGCGCGGTGCAATTGATTGAATCATTTTGAATGAGCTCAGATCGCACCAAGCTCGTGCATGCAGCAGTTTTGGAACGCACTGCAGCCGGATGGTAATTTTGTACTATGCAGTCCGGCAAATGCACTTCTTTTTTTTATTTTTTAAACCAAAAACATGTAGCAGAATACATTTTGGCCTAAATTTTATGAAAATTTTTTTTAATTTTTTTTTTATGTTTTATGGTAAAAAATAAAATGTATATATTTTGTTTTTAAATTTTCGCTGTATTTTTTATTTTTTTTTTTTTATAGCGCAAAAAAAATAACCCAGTGGTGATCAAATACCACTTTTTCTGTGAAAAAAATTATATAAACTGTGGGCAGCACAGTGGCTAAGTGGTTAGCACGTCTGCCTGGCAGTACTAGGGTCGCCGGTTCAAATCCCAACCATGGCACCACCTGCCTGGAGTTTGCATGTTCTCCCTGTGCCTGCGTGGGTTTCCTCTGGGTACTCCAGTTTCCTCCCACCCTCCAAAGACATGCTGGTAGGTAAATTGGCTCCTGTCTCAATTGTCCCTAGTATGTGTATGTATGAATGTGAGTTAGGGACCTTAGATTGTACGGGTTAGGGACTGATGTGAATGTACAATATATATGTAAAGTGCTGCGTAAATTGACGGCGCTATATAAGTACCTGAAATAAATAAATAATATATAAATTTCATTTGTGTACAGTGTTGCATGACTGCGCAGTTATCAGTTAAAGTAGCACAGCATCGTATAGCAGCAAATGGCCTGGTCATGAAGGGGGGGGGGGGGGGGGGGGGGGGGGTTAAATCTTCCAGAGGGTAGGTGGGTAATTAGGCTGATTGTCCCCCATTGCATATCACTGTGGGGCTGTGCAATGGCTGAGTGACTACAGATCTGGTAATGTATCTCCCAGTTTTGTGTTGTGTGACACCATCACTTGTACACAGATTATGCAGGCTTGTAAACAGTGGAATCACTGTGTGATCCTCACATTTTGCACTGTCACTGTTGACATATTTATGCTCTGTCATTGGTGCCTAGGCATGGTGAGAGTTGGCTCTTACCTCTTGTGCAACGTGTTGGTACTTTACTGCATACATTTTGCTCACTGTTTTTATGTTCTAGAATGGAGACTTTTAGGACTCATGTACACTGCAGCTGATAAACTGACGTTCAGGAGCTGTTCAGTGTTTTTCCAGCAGCCCCTAATGTTTTCCTATGTGTCCATGTACACATCGTCATTTACAGGCGGTTTTTTGAACGCACCAAACTTGTGTTCAGGAGTAGATATTATCAGTGTTTGAAACGCCAAATGCTTGTAAACGCGTTTATAAGCGTTTGCGTTTAGAAACGTTTTTTTAACCCTTCCATGTCCAGACGCTGTCCAGAGCCTTTTTTCATCATCAGAAATGCATGCAAAGTGTTTTCCATGTATTCAAATGGACCCGGTACACCAGCGCAGTCAGTTCCAGGTTTCGCGTGAAGGAATAAATGGTAGAACGTGCCGCATTATGCTCCTGATGGGATCCATAGTGAATACAACCAGAAAAGACAGGTCATCTCCACATATACTGCTCTCTCTGCTTCTGATTTCTCGATTTCTCTCAAAATGTCTGAAATAGTTTATTTTTTACTATTATTTTTTTTTTTTTTCTGGGCATTTGGGAAGGTCTCTTGGGGGTTATCTTTTGAAAATGCTTCTAAAAGCAAACGCACATAAACTCTCATAAACGCAGTATGCAAACGCAGCTAAACTAACGTTTTTTTTAACCTACAGTCATTTTCCATGGTTCAGAAGAGTTTTCCAAATGCCCCGTGTACATGAGCCCTTATTGGTAATTTGTTTTTAGCAATTATTATTATTATACAAGATTTATATAGCGCTGACAGTTTGCTCAGCGCTTTACATTATGTGGGAGGCAATATAGCAACAATACAGTTCAATACAAGAGGGATTTGAGGGCCCTGCTCCTTGGAGCTTACAATCTAGGAGGGAGGGGCTTGTGGTATAAGAGGTAATAATTGTGGGGGATTGAGTGGTTTGAAGAGTAGAGGATTCCAGTATTAGCTGGGGTCAGGGAGGCTTCTCTGAAGAGAGAGGTTTTCAGAGCGCGCCTAAAAGTGAGCCGAGCAGGCGATAGTCTGATGGATTGGGGTAGTGAGTTCCAGAGGATAGGGGAAGCCCTGGAGAAGTCCTGGAGACTAGCATAGGAGTAGGAGACAAGGGAGCTAAAGAGTAGGAGGTCTTGTGAGGAGCGGAGAGTACGGTTTGGGTGATATTTGGAGACAAGATCGGTGATGTAATTAGGGGCAGTGTTATGAATGGCTTTATACGTCAGTGTTAGCGTTTTTGAATTTTATCCGTTGGGAAATTGGAAGCCAGTGGAGGGATTGGCAGAGAGGGGTGGAGGACACTGAGTGGAGACCAGTGGAGGGATTGGCAGAGAGGGGTGGAGGACACTGAGTGGAGACCAGTGGAGGGATTGGCAGAGGGATGGAGGACACGGAGTGGAGGCCAGTGGAGGGATTGGCAGAGAGGGGTGGAGGACACCGAGAGGAGGCCAGTGGAGGGATTGGCAGAGAGGGGTGGAGGACACTGAGTGGAGGCCAGTGGAGGGATTGGCAGAGAGGGGTGGAGGACACTGAGTGGAGGCCAGTGGAGGGATTGGCAGAGAGGGGTGGAGGACACTGAGAGGAGGCCAGTGGAGGGATTGGCAGAGAGGGGTGGAGGACACTGAGAGGAGGCCAGTGGAGGGATTGGCAGAGAGGGGTGGAGGACACTGAGAGGAGGCCAGTGGAGGGATTGGCAGAGAGGGGTGGAGGACACTGAGAGGAGGCCAGTGGAGGGATTGGCAGAGAGGGGTGGAGGACACTGAGAGGAGGCCAGTGGAGGGATTGGCAGAGAGGGGTGGGGGCTGATATAGAACGGTTAGTAAGGTAGATGAGTCTGGCAGCAGCATTCATGATGGACTGGAGTGGGGATAGCCTGCGATGAGGTTGGCCAGTGAGGAGGGAGTTACAGTAGTCAATTTATTTTGTGAACAAACATAGCACAGGTAATGGTCAATCATTTTAAATATCATTTATATGCTGGGGAATAATGATATGAATATCTCAGTTGTACAAATACCAAAGATTACATAAGGAAAAAACTATTCCAAAATAATATCACCCTTAGGCTTCATGTAAATGAGCCTACCCTGATTGCCGGCAGCGGGAATACGCAAAAATGCGGTACCGCGTTTTGAAATTTCAAAAGCTCCTAAACTCCAGTTCAAGAGCTGCTTGTGTGCATGAAGTCTAACTATGCGCCTTAGGCTTCATGTACACGAACAACTCCTAAACTCGAGTTTAGAAGCTTTTGGCATTTTTTTTTTTTTGCCAAAGCTCCTAAACTCAACTCCATAAAAGTCTGTGTCCGTGTTCTCATAGGCGTTTAGCAGAGTTTTGGAGCTGCTGCGTGCAGGTGAGGTTAAACCTCCTTCTCTTGAACGCAGAAGAATCGCATTCTGGATAGGAACGTTTTGACAGCCGTCCTTTGGAGAAACGCAAAAATGTGGCAAAGGGGGTACCGCGGTTTTTCTGCAATTTGCAGTTTCCAGCAGTCAGGGTAGGCTCGTGTACATGAAGCCTTAGAAGGAAAAAAAAAAAACAACGCAAAATCAGCAGCTGCAATATAAAAACAAAAATCTAAATAACACCAATAGAACACAAACTGTATCCACTATGCAGCACTCCTCTTATATGTGCAAAAAGTGAACAGCTCATTTTTTTTTTTTTTTTTGTAAAATAATATACCTTTTTTTTTTTTTTTTTTTTTTTTTTTTTTTTTCATTTGAATTGATTACATTTTGCACATATAATAGGAGCGATGCATACTGGACATAGTGTGTGTCCTATGGGTGTAATCAACTATTTTTCAGCTAGTTTAGGCTCATAGCACAACGTGTGTCAGCACATATATATGTAAATGTGCTGAAGATGTGAGTCGTGGGGTGTTTGGGTTTTGTGTTTTTGTTTTGCTTTTGTTAGTGTAAGTTTTTTAAAATTTGTATTCAACTTTTTCTAAATTTTAGACGCATTATTTTCAGTTTGCCTAAAACCACGTTGCAGTGCTCTGCTACCGGCCTAATTTTGTATGTAGCACACACCAACACAGCTAACTGTAACCATACAGAACAAGGCCTTTTCTCCAAACTGTGGCCCTTTTCTTGCCTTCATCCAGCCTTTGGGCCCTTGGGACACTCTCTTCCTCCCAGTGGCAAATTTCTGCCACTGAAACCAGCACTGGGGCACTGTTCCTCCCACGGGCACCCGCGAAGGGGCACTGTTCCTCCCACGGGCACCCGCGAAGGGGCACTGTTCCTCCCACGGGCACCCGCGAAGGGGCACTGTTCCTCCCACGGGCACCCGCGAAGGGGCACTGTTCCTCCCACGGGCACCCGCGAAGGGGCACTGTTCCTCCCACGGGCACCCGCGAAGGGGCACTGTTCCTCCCACGGGCACCGGCGGTGGGGCAGTGTTCCTCCCACGGGCTCCGGCGGTGGGGCAGTGTTCCTCCCACGGGCTCCGTCGGTGGGGCAGTGTTCCTCCCACGGGCTCCGTCGGTGGGGCAGTGTTCCTCCCACGGGCTCCGTCGGTGGGGCAGTGTTCCTCCCACGGGCTCCGTCGGTGGGGCAGTGTTCCTCCCACGGGCTCCGTCGGTGGGGCAGTGTTCCTCCCACGGGCTCCGTCGGTGGGGCAGTGTTCCTCCCACGGGCTCCGTCGGTGGGGCAGTGTTCCTCCCACGGGCTCCGTCGGTGGGGCAGTGTTCCTCCCACGGGCTCCGTCGGTGGGGCAGTGTTCCTCCCACGGGCTCCGTCGGTGGGGCAGTGTTCCTCCCACGGGCTCCGTCGGTGGGGCAGTGTTCCTCCCACGGGCTCCGTCGGTGGGGCAGTGTTCCTCCCACGGGCTCCGTCGGGGGGGGCAGTGTTCCTCCCACGGGCTCCGGCGGGGGGGCAGTGTTCCTCCCACGGGCTCCGGCGCACCGGCGGAGGGGCAGTGTTCCTCCCACGGGCACCGGCGGAGGGGCAGTGTTCCTCCCACGGGCACCGGCGGTGGGGCACTTTTTACATTGAAGTCAGTGGGAGGCAGTTGTGGGGGGGGGAGAGAGAGCCGTCAAAATTGCACCTGTACTGAAATTGCACAGAAACCAGAATGACATGGCGATTTCAGTACACATGTGAAACCCAGTTGCCAGGAATCAATTGCTAGTTGGCAAGGTGACCTGGCGCCTGGGATATGTTGAGCCCTGCAGTAATGTACACTTCATATCGCCTTGTAAGTGTGGGTGTCACCCAACAAGGAGGCCACCACTTCCCCTCACCCGGACTCCTTGCAGCACCTGCACTTTGTCCTCATCCAGCTCCCCTCCATTATCACTAGTGAGTCTTCCTGACTGACAGTTCCTGCGCCTGTGCACTGTGTGGGGATGAAGTGAGGTGAACAGGTTATCAGTGCAGCAGTACAGCAGGTCTCAGTGGATCTTAAACCACCACATGTTTATTTAAGTCCTAGAAGAGTCAGCAACATTACTAGTTTTTAAATATACAGAACAACAAAATTGTAATATAATCTGCGTACATTTTCAGTTATTTTTGTATGGACAGCATAAAAATAGTTGTTAATCCGAAGTCCATTATACCCTCATAACGTTCATATTATCCTTCCCAGCGGGGTTAATTCTGTACTCTTTTCTTTTTCGAGTGGCAGGCGGAGGGAGTGCATTAGCTGTACATAAATGCAGAGTTTTCAGAAGCAGTGCAGTGCTGGCAAAAGATACAGACAGAACGCTCCTACATTCCAGACACCCTGATAGCCCCTAGGTCACCCTGATAGCTCCCTAGGTCACCCTGATAGCTCCCTAGGTCACCCTGATAGCACCCTGATGAGCTCCCTAGGTCACCCTGATAGCTCCCTAGGTCACCCTGATAGCTCCCTAGGTCACCCTGATTCCTTGCAGTACCCTTACCCTGTCCTTCTCATCCAGCCTTTTGCCTCCCTTTATTACAGGGCTTGACAAATTTCCTTTGAATCTAGGAGCCAGCTGAAACATTTAGGAGCCAGTTTTTTTAGCATAGCATGGATTGTCGGTGCCCGGGGCAAGGCAAGCAATTTTCACCCCCTAACCCTAACGTACTTACAGCAGAGCGGCCAGCCAATGACCCCAGCGTAATGCCGGGTGGCCAGAAAGCATAAAACCTGTTATGGGGAAAAACTCATTTTCACAAGACTGCTATATACTGCTGATGAGAAAAGGTGTTTAGCAGTTTATATTTACTAAAATAATTGCATTTCCATGTTGTGTGTACTGTGGGAGACCAGATATAGTGAATGCAGTGTCCGGGGAGACCAGATATAGGGAATGCAGAGTCCGGGGAGACCAGATATAGTGAATGCAGGGTCCGGGGAGACCAGATATAGTGAATGCAGGGTCCGGGGAGACCAGATATAGTGAATGCAGGGTCCGGGGAGACCAGATATAGTGAATGCAGGGTCCTGCGGAGACCAGATATAGGGAATGCTGGGTCCTGCGGAGGCCAGATATAGGGAATGCAGGGTCCTGCGGAGACCAGATATAGGGAATGCAGGGTCCTGCGGAGACCAGATATAGGGAATGCTGGGTCCTGCGGAGACCAGATATAGGGAATGCTGGGTCCTGCGGAGACCAGATATAGGGAATGCTGGGTCCTGCGGAGACCAGATATAGGGAATGCTGGGTCCTGCGGAGACCAGATATAGGGAATGCTGGGTCCTGCGGAGACCAGATATAGGGAATGCTGGGTCCTGCGGAGACCAGATATAGGGAATGCAGGGTCCTGGGTGTAGTAACACTTTAAGCCATTTATTATCACATAGTTTGTCTCTTTTTTTAAATCATAATGATAACCGAAATCGTCCAAATGGCACGGATCAAAAGTTTCCATTCCCTGGAGTGTTTGGCCTTGGTACAGACGCATAAGGTGACACACACAGGGTAAAATTGCAATTAAAGGTTATTTTCCCACATCTGTGGCTTTTAAAAATGGCAATTCGTGTCTGTGTATAAATAGTCAATGAGTTTGTTAGCTCTCACATGGATGCACTGAGCAGGCTAGACACTGAGCCATGGGGAGCAGAAAGGAACTTTAAAAAGACCTGTGTAATGAGGTGATGGAACTTTATAAAGATGGAAAAGGATATACAATTCTATCCAAAGCCTTGAATATGCCAGTCAGTACTGTTCAATCACTTGTTAAGTGGAAAGTTCAGGGATCTCTTGATACCAAGCCAAGGTCAGGTAGACCAAGAAAGATTGCAGTCACAACTGCCAGAAGAATTGTTCGGGATACAAAGAAAACCCCACATTTAACCTCAGGAGAAATGCAGGCTGCCCTGGAAAGAGGCGGTGTGGTTGTTTCAAGGAGCACAATACGACAATGCATGAACAAAAATGAGCTGCATGGTCGAGTTGCCAGAAAGAAGCATTTGCTGCACCAATGCCACAAAAAAGCTTGGTTACAATATGCCTGACAACGCCTTTGCACGCCTCACAGCTTCTGGCACACTGTAATCTGGAGTGACGAGACCAAAATAGAGCTTTATGGTCACAGCCGTAATCACTATATATTGCAGAGGAGTCAACAGTGACAAGAATACCATCCCCACTGTGAAGCATGTTGGTGGCTCACTGCTGTTTTTGGGGTGTGTGAGCTCTAAAGGCACGGGGAATCATGTGAAAATTCATGGCAAGATAAATGCAGCTTGTTATCAGAA